AGTGGATATGACCTCCTCCTGCTAGGCACATTGGATTTGAAGGCAGTCAGGTGTAAACGGACAGCAGAATCCATTTACATCTGGACGCCAATAGAAAAGAGCAGGCTCTGTCTGTACCTGCTCTACAGAAACTGAGCAGACACGGACTTGCCATTTGGCCCTCTGCTCTGATCAGCAGGGGATCAACGGACAGATCCCCTGCTGATCAAAACAGAGTCCATCCCTTATGAAAGGGGCGTAAAGATTACCAGGGTATTGAATTGCAATACTTTTATTGCTGGTTAGTCGCCTACACCGTTTTAAGTGGAGCTCTAACCACTTTTCTTTGTTTTCATTTTTTTCTCATTTTTATGGTAAAGGGTTACATGATATTGTTTACAGTGCCCCATTGTTGCCAGCCACTGGTGCATTTTCAAAGGGGAGCACATTTTCAGAAAAGATAAAAAGGAAATTGCACTCACATTTATGCCTTGGGTATCACCAAGACAGAAATTTAGAGGAAATCACCCCGACTGGGGACACAAACTACAATAATATAGCAGTGGGCACAACCCTTCATTCTGCTAAAAATGTACAAAAACATTCTAAACTTGTTCTATAGCCGTAGGACATTCAGTCTACATTTTCAAGATGTTCCCATGAAATTTCAAGGTTTGATGTCCTACCCAATTTGTTAAATAGGACCTTCCATGAAAAATATATAGTCTACTTTATTACCTTCCCCAACTTGAAAATAATGATTTGACAAAAAACTTACCCTTGCTTGGTCTTATCTTTTGAATTGCACAGTTGACATTACTACTTCTTAATACTGCTTTTTTTTTTGGGAAGCTGTGACCACAAAACCCCAAAAGAATGCACCCTAGCCCTTGCAGGAATGCCCTTGAGCATCAAGGAGGCAGCAATTAAGTGCAGTGTCATCACCCTTTGCCTCTTGGAAGAATTGAAAGCTGAGATCAAGACCAGGTTGTTGTTTTTTTTTTTGAGGGGGGGGGGGGGGGGTTGTATTACACATCTTCATTTAAAATTTTTTTCAGCTAATTTAGTTTAGGGGGTAGGGGGATAGCAGTAAAGCAGACTGGGCACGATGCATGGAAGGTCTGCTTTAATCTGTTATACAGTGCATAAGGTGGTGGTAATAAGTTTATTCAATTCCACATCATTTGGCATTACAAATTGCTTCCCTGTCACTTACTTCCTATATTTTTTGGTTATTCTCTAGGGTAAGGTGGAATGCTGGGACCCACGGACAAGAACGCGAGTAGGGCTTCTGGACTGCGCCTTGAGCAGTGTTACAGAGGATACAGAGTAGGTTAAACAAGTAAAGGTTCTTAGGTTTAAATGCTATTATTTCCACACAAAATTAAATTGTCTACAGATCTGAGCATATATGTGCGCCCAAACTGGCCAGATTAAAAATTCCCTTGAGGGTTCAGAGGGTTCAGAAAAACAAAACCATCCATACATGTGGAAGAGATCAGTTAAGTGTAAATGATCCTACCAATCTGTATACACATTTTAAAAACCTTGCTTCTATTTATTTGTTTAGGACAGGAGGAAATCACAAAGCAATAGGCGGTGATATGGGGAGGTGATATTAGGAATTTCTTGGGCTTTTAAAAACAAAAAAGGGGCTTTATGGCCTAAATTTTTTTTATATTTTTAACATTGCACTGTTTATCTCCCCCTCTACTCCCTGCCTGTCTCCAGCACTGCACCTGGGGACATTAAAGTCCCCATCTTTACCCCCTATACATCAAAGTCCCCATATACATCAGTGTCCAGAGGAGTCCCTGCTTACATAAGACCCTGGTGAAGTTCCCCCTTTATTCAGAGCTCAGCGGGGTGCCCCCTTTAGTCAAAGCTCAGCGGGGTGCCCCCTTTAGTCGGAGCTCAGCGGGGTGCCCCCTTCTGTCAGAGCTCAGCTGCTAACTGGACATGAAAAAGTTAAGTGTGAACCTCCTGGAGGGGGGAGGTAGAAAAGGAGAGAAGGGAAGGCTCCATGGTAGAGCAGAGATCGCTCATCCCCAGGCTGCTCTCTGCAGGCTCAGACATCGGCAGTCATACAGCCGGATGGATCTTCTAATTTCCTGCCCACGGGGCAGTCATGGAGGAGAGGGGCGGAAAGAGGTGGAGCAAAGCGTAATCTGTCTCCTCTCCCGATTATGCGGGGAGGGAGGGGGGAAGTGTGCTGTGTGAACAAGTGTCAAACACTGAGCATGCACATACCTGTCGGCCCCAGAGTTTATCAATCGCTTTCTTAAGCAAGCCTAGCTGCTTGCCGGCAGCAGGGCTAAATGTAAGGAAAAACAGCCTGCCCAGAACTACATGTCCCGGGGGGGCGATAGGATTTGCACATCCCTGGGCTAATGTTCCGCATTAAGGATTAGATTTTTTTTTTTTTTTTGTAAGTGGACCTGAATTCAGTGTAGATTTGCTGTTTTTATATGGAAATATCTAGGAATTATAACTGTGCCTAAACAGTACCCCGGGCCTAAAGCGTTATAGGTGTATATCTGCAGTATGAGATCACTTAAGGCACTGCTGCCTCTGACTGTCAGTCTCACTAGCTTTGAAGTGATATAATGTATGGTGATGTCACTACTGCGCTGCTCACGGTTTTCTTTACTAAAGAGAAAGCTGTACCTAAGGACCTGCAGTGCAAGGCTCTCCCTGCTTCTGCTTTATACAGTTTGCATGTCAGTGCTTCCTCTAACTCCCCTGCTGCTTTTTAATTATTTCCTACCAGGCATCAGATCACCAACCACAAGAAGGGCAGCACTGTGCGGAAGCAAAGACTTGCTTTTTTACTAAGATGGCCGTCTTCACACAGAGGCACAATATAGATTAAGGCATTGTCAGTCGAAAATCGAAAAATAACAAGCTGCAGGGAGCCTTTAGTCATTACTGGTGACTAGATCTTTGTCCTCTGCTTGGCTTTTTGGGCAAAGCTTCCACAGTACAGATCCTTAATATTAAAGTGGTTGTAAAGGCTGAAGGTTTTTTTTACCTTTGTGCATTCTATGCATGAAGGTAAAAAAACCTTCTGTGTGCTACTCCCCACAGCCCCATTAATACTCACCTGATCCCGATCCAGTGATGTGCATGTAAGCCTCGGCTTTCACAGGTACCTCCTTCCTCATTGGCTGAGACATATCAGTGGGAGCCATTGGCTCCCACTGCTGTTAATCACAGCTGGTGAGCCAGTGAGGAGAGATGGTAGGTGGGGCAGAGCTGTGCTCTGTGTCTTTTGGGGGGGCTCGGAAGTGAGCACACACCAGTGTAGCCCTAGCAAGTGCCCGCTAATGGGGGCACTGGTCAGGAGGAAGGAGCCAGGAGCGCTGGCGGGGTACCTGAGAAGAGGAGGATTGGGGCTGCTCTCTGTGCAAAACCATCGTACAGAGCAGGTAAGTATGACATGTTTGTTATTAAAAAAAACAAAAAAATCCCCGAACCTTTAATATCACTTTAATGTTTTCTTCTTTACTCCTGTTTCCAAGTGTTTTATAAATACTCATTTATGGATATATTTTGTTCTTTTAACGGTAAAGTATTCAATTAAACTGCTGAGCCAAGGGCTCCAACATATCATATGTTTGTATGACTTTATGCTAGGTAAAAAAGATAATTCTTATCTGTTATCTCCTTTCAGAATTGATGGCTTACCATCTGTGTCTGCTCTGAAATTTAATGGACCTCTACAAATGGCTGTAGGCACTTCAACTGGCCAGGTATAGACAATGCTATACATACATTTGAAACATAGGTATTTGGGGACTTTTAAGGTTCCACACAAACCTCTAAATTTTCATAAAACACAACTTTTTATTGAAGTATATATAAAAATCAGCAGATAGGCAGATAATATTAATAGGCATATAATAACAAATACAGGTATCCACGTGGTTATTGTCTACATTAATTTCTATTCTTAACATGTTTTCCCATTCATTGGTTTCTTCAGGAGGTTAATGGAAATTTACATAAGGATACCACAAGTTTTTAAACCACAAAATTGTTTTGCTGTTAGTATAGATAAGAATCTTCATGCATGGATCAGCAGCCCCGAAAAAAAGAGGTGTAATGGTAACCACAGGGGGACACAATATACTAAGATGACACCCTCCATTACATCGATTGCAAATATGAGGTGAATGCCCCAAGGAACTCTCATGGTATGAGGAGGTGTATCTTCCTAAAGTTACATTAGAAAACTTGGTACTCACATTATTTGAGCTATAACCCCACAAGAATGAAAAAGACTGAAAAGTCTGAGTCCAAAACAGGTGGCGAATGCTGCTTCAATATCTGTGGGGAGGAAAGAAATGTGCTTTCTTGACAAGTAAGACCTTTTGCTGATTTAATAAAGGAAATAATACCATGCATTTTTGCAAGGTAATGATTTCACTTTGTTTGGTAATGATGTGGCGCCTTCTAATTAAGTGTGGTAATTACCATAAGTGTAAAAAACCTATATAGATCAATACCAATTGTTTAGCAGTCCCTTTTAAGTGTAAACACACCAATGAACAATTACTGTATTTTTGCTCCATAAGATTCACCTGACCATAAGACGCGCCTAGGTTTTAGAGGAGGAAAACAAGAAAAAAAATATTTTGAACCAATGGACTGCAGACATAGTACAGGAAATGACCGGAGACTGCAGACATAGTACAGGAAATGACGGAGACTGCAGACATAGTACAGGAAATGACCGGAGACTGCGTACACAGTACAGGAGATGACCGGAGGCTGCGGACACAGTACAGGAGATGACCGGAGGCTGCGGACACAGTACAGGGGATGACCGGAGGCTGCGGACACAGTACAGGGGATGACCGGAGGCTGCGGGCACAGTACAGGGGATGACCGGAGGCTGCGGGCACAGTACAGGGGATGACCGGAGGCTGCGGACACAGTACAGGGGATGACCGGAGGCTGCGGACACAGTACAGGGGATGACCGGAGGCTGCGGACACAGTACAGGGGATGACCGGAGGCTGCGGACACAGTACAGGGGATGACCGGAGGCTGCGGACACAGTACAGGGGATGACCGGAGGCTGCGGACCGGGGAGGACTGGCTGCGGACAGTACAGGGGATGACCGGAGGCTGCGGACACAGTACAGGGGATGACCGGAGGCTGCGGACACAGTACAGGGGATGACCGGAGGCTGCGGACACAGTACAGGGGATGACCGGAGGCTGCGGACACAGTACAGGGGATGACCGGAGGCTGCGGACACAGTACAGGGGATGACCGGAGGCTGCGGACACAGTACAGGGGATGACCGGAGGCTGCGGACACAGTACAGGGGATGACCGGAGGCTGCGGACACAGTACAGGGGATGACCGGAGGCTGCGGACACAGTACAGGGGATGACCGGAGGCTGCGGACACAGTACAGGGGATGACCGGAGACTGCGGACACAGTACAGGGGATGACCGGAGACTGTGGACCTTTGGGGAGCGGGTACCCGAATTTGACAGACACCTGTTCCCACATCTGCGGCGCTGTCCTCCCTCCCTCCTTCTCTTCTGGGACACGTGACAGGGCCGGACCATTCACAAAGCTCAGGGCTTCTTGCGCATGAGCAGTGGGCACCCGGCTGTGAAGCCGAAAGCTGTCACAGCTGGGTGCCCACACTAAAGATGCCGGCTCTGGGAGAGAAGACGGTGAGGACAGCGATGGAACGAGGAACAGGTAGGACCGAGGAGCACAGAAGAGCAGAGCAGCCGGCCCGGCATTATAACAAGGCAGGGGGAATTCCGGGCCAGTAGCTCCATATTCGCTCCACAGATGCACAGACATTTTCCCCCATTTTTTTTTTTTGAGGAAAAAAGTGCATCTTATGGAGCGAAAAATATGGTAAACTATGCAAAGATAGGAGCTAAATTGGCATAAACATTACATTTATACATAAATGGCAACTAGTATCCAAAGTCCATTATAGTGCATATCCCAACATCACACTGTGACAAGGGTCCTTTAAGAGGATGCCTGCCATATGGTAACAATCTCCCAACTTCTTCACCATTTGTGTTCATATGGAATATGCGATCACCAGAGGACATCGACCCCTTTGTTACAAGAAGGTCAATCAGCGCTTTTGTTCCCCAAAGTTGTTATTCTCATGAAGAGGATCTCCAGGTTTCCTTCATTCAGTTGTGTCATTCAGATACACTCAATAACAGATGAGGGAACATCCAATTAAAAGTATGTTTACTTCCTGAAGATGCCATATTGGTGAAATGTACGTAGAAGGTTTTGTATGACGTCACAACCAGCCCACGAGATGGAGGCTTGGAGCATATGCTGGCCAACGGAGGCGGTACGGTGACTCAGATTTCACAGGCTGTATATACTGGTGCCAGTATTGAAGACACTGTAAAATGTGTGTTTTTAATTTGATATGTTTTGTTATGAAAAATCCATACACAAATACTGCACTTAGATACATTTAATTGGATGTTCCCTCATCTGTTATTGAGTGTGGATACTGGTATTGCTTTTTATTTATATATTTAATGTTTATGCTAATTTAGTGCCTTTCTTTGCATGGTTTAATAATTTCACTTGCTTTTACCAGCCTCCAGATTTTCACTATATCAACAAACATGAAGTAGGAGTAGCGAAAATAATAATTTACTTTACACTTCATAACAGCAATGGTCACAATAAAGGGACTGGGAAATGAACACAGACCTTCAGCGGGTGGTTTCACCAATGATCACCCGATAGAGATAGAGCTCTCCCTAATGGGGCACATATCGGGGTGGAAAAAAAAACCTGTCAGAGTTTTCACCATTTCATACTGTATCCAAGATATTGGAAAAAAAGATTTTTGGCTTTAATCATGTATTAAGCCTCATGTAGAGCTTTCCTTTAGTCTCTTATGCTTGTCTCATAAGTTTCTGTTGATGACAAAATGTACTCTGTAGTCAATGACAGTGAAGATGAGGTGGTGGTATCTCAAAGAACATCCAGTGAGCAGATTTCACCAGAAATTTAAGAAGTTCCATAGAAAATTGGTTAAAGTAGCTGAAAGAAGAACACACTGTTCTCCTCACTGATCTAATTCCTGATGTGTTTATCAAATGAAAAGTGTGCAAGGCTATCATGTACTATTTCAAAATCGTGTTTGCCTAAGCTTCCTCAGCTCCTGGGAATAAGCGGGCCCTTTGTTTATCTCTATGTCTGTATTAAGAGATGTCCGGGCATTTTTTCCCTGAACTCACAGGGCCCTAAATGGGAGTACTGCTCGGTATAGCATTGCGCCCTGTCCAGCCGCATCCTGCCCTAGACTTTAACAGGCTGCAGGCAGTACGGTTGGATGCTGCACCTGTCCCTCCTGGGTGTGCCAAATTGCAGGGGCTGAATGCACTGCAACTAGCCAGCCCAGCAGGGAGCCTCAAAAAGGTCATATGTGATAAATATGAAGCTTTCACTGGAATTTTCTTGCGGTATAATATAGCCTTCAGCCTTTATCTTCCATATTAGAAGCTTGAGCTAGAAGAGCAAATCCCCAATAGAGTAACATTGTTTTTTCAGTAAAATCATTGGTAAAAACTTATAGTAAAAACATTAAGCACTATGAATAGTGCACTATAAAACTCCTCTGTCCAGTAGTAATTAAACTGCCATGAACCTCCCAAAAACTTAGCGTGGTGACATCACCAAGACATCATCAGTGGCTAGGAAGAAATGTCTTACCAAGCATTTTAGTTTTCTTACATTGTCACGCTCTACTGTTTATTTTGTGCTTATTTGCTCTAGTATAGCAGCTTTTAGCATAAAATTTTAGATGGTGTAATTATTTTAATTTCAAACATTTTTTATTGAAAGATTTTAGTGTAAAACAAAACAAGGTACATTAATATGGTTCACAGTTAAGTACAGCAATATTGTTGCGTGAAATAAATTCCTCACCATTTGGCTGGGGAGGGTAAACATGAGTCGTATTTACCTGAGAGGTATGCTCGGTTTGGTGTGAACCATATAGAGGTGGGAATGTTATATAAAGTGGGTAAAGAACAGGGGGGGTGACAAGGACACCAGTCTAGTGCATAAGGCCTTTTATGTTATACATTTATGAAAATATTTTATGGAGCAACTAGGGTTCTATAGCCATCGAGACCATTGGTATTTGAATTTATGGTGGGAAGAATGGTTGAGGGCTGATCTTCCTTCCATATCACATTGGAAGTTAAGGTCTGTTATAAGGGCAGAGAGAGGAGGAGTTTTGGTAGATTTCCATAATTTAGTAATGTTGGATTTAGCAGCTGCCAATAAGTGGATAATGATGGTGCGTGAGTCTTTAGGGAATTTGTCGATTCCTATATGAAGGAGTGCGAGAGCCGGGTTTGGAGCCACTGGGGCTTCAGCGATTGTTGAAATCAATTGGAAAACGCTGTTCCAGTAAGATCTAAGAGATTTACATGCCCAGAGTATATGTAAAGTTGATCCTGTTTCTCCGCATTGTCTCCAACAAGCTGGTGAGTGTTGAGAGTAATATAAAGAGAGTTTAACAGGTGTTCTATACCACTGGTGTAAAATTTTCATATATGATTCCCAATGGGAACTACATCTAGATGCTTTGTGGGTAATGTTAAAGCTTCTTTCCCAAGTGTGCGGTTGTATTGGTTGTGGGAGACGTTTCTCCCAGTTGGATAGAGAGGTAGTTTGTAGAGCGAACTATGAGTTGGTTATGAGTGTGTAGAAGGTTGAAATCCCTTTCTTAGGGTATTGAGTTTTGTTAAGGAATTGATGCTCAGTAGTAGGAATTTTCAAAAGATGTGGAACGTTTATTTTTTTGTAGGGAGTGCGCTATTCTCATGTAAGTGAAGTTTTCGTTTTCGGGGAGGTGAAATTTTTCCTGAAGAGTCGAAAAGGAGTCTAGTTTGTGGTTTGTATAGAGGTCTTGTAAAAGAGATATACCTCGATTTTCCCATTTGTAGTAGTTTTAAAGAGGGGATAATGAAGTGTAGGGTGGTAATTAGGGTAGGAATTGGTTTGGTATCTGTCGAGTTGGATGTTAAGAGATCATACCAGGCTTGTAAAGAGGCTTGGATGCATGGATGTTTGGGTAGAATTTTGGATTGAGGGGCTTGTGGCAAGAACAGCATTATACGTGATGTAGGCGGGAGATGCGGGAGTGTTTCCATGGTAGTCCATGTTTTTTCGTTAGTTGGGTGCCACCAAAAATAGAGTTGGTCTAGAAGTGTGGCATTGTAGTATGATTTTAAATGTGGGAGACCTGCTCCTCCCCTAGAAGTTGGACGTATTAAGAGATTTCTAGCACATCTGGGTTTTTTTTTGAGTTCCAGAGGAATTTGGCAAGTACTGCTTGTAGTTTGGAGAAGAAGGTATTGGGGACGGGGATGGGGAGTGTGCGGAATATGTAAAGGATTTTGGGTAGTATGCACATTTTGAGGGTAGCTACTCTTCCTAGTTTCGATAGTGTTGACGTGCGTAGATTTTTAAGTACCTGTGGGATGGATTCAAGTAATAGTTTGTGGTTTGCAGCGTATAGTTGATCAGTCGTAGTGGTGAGTTTAATTCCCAGGTAGGGGATGCTGTGGTGTTCCCAGGAGAAGGGGAAATGTTTGATCAGCATTTTCTGGATCTTAGTGGGCGTATGGAGATTAAGGATAGAGGATTTGGGCTCATTGAGCTTATAGTATGATACTTCCGAGTAATTATGAAGATGTGTACGAATCGTTTGAAGCGATTTGTATGGGTTGGTAACCATTAGAATGATGTCATCTGCAAATAAGATAATTTTGTGTTCTTTTTTCAGGTGGGTAATTCCTGTGAATGTTGGGTCATCTCTGAGTTTTGAGGCTAAGGGTTTGATGAGTAAAGTAAAGATTATGGGGGATAAGGGGCAGCCTTGTCTGGTACCATTGGATATGTGGAAAGTATGTGAGAGTGTGCCGTTTGTTAATACTCTAGCTGAAGGGTTGGAGTAGTGGGAGAGGATTGCCGATAGCATCCAGTCTGTAATTCCAAATTTTTAAAGTGTGAGTTTCATAAATTGCCATTGTATTCGGTCGAATGCTTTTTCAGCGTCTAGGGATAAGAATAAGGAGGGTTGTTTGGTGGTTTCTAATTTGTGTAGGAGGGATATGAGTCTTCTGGTTGCTTCTGGTGCTTGGCGATCAAGGATAAATCCCACTTGGTCTGGGTGGGTTAATGTAGGAAGGTGGGGAAGCAGTCTTTGGACTATTATTTTGGCGTAGAGTTTTATGTCTGTGATTAGTATTGAGATCGGTCTGTAATTCTGGACAAGTTGGGGATCTTTGCCGGGTTTTGGAATAGTTGTTATTATGGATTGCAGCATTTTGTTGGGGAATTCACCCGTAGAGGTGGCATGGTTAAAGAGGACGGTTAGATGTGGTGTAAGATTAGGGGCAAATGTTTTGTAGAATTCGTTCGTGAAGCCATCGTTTCCTGGAGATTTATTAAGAGGTAAGGTTTTTATAGTGTTTTCTATTTCTGTAGGATGGATCGGGATAGAGATAGAGGTGAGTTGTGATGGAGTGAGTTGGGGAAGATTAGTGG